ACACACACACACACACACACACACACACACACACTGACAGGGTCGTTCCAATATGCGTTTTTGCTACACGGCAAAAACGCATAAAAAGTAATACCGATCCAGGAAAAATACCGCGGACCGACTATACGTACCAGGGTCCAAAATTGGTGGATGTGGGTTTGAGTCTTTGGAAGAGTAAAAGTTGGCGGTACTTCAGCACAACAACAACAATCATTGGCGACGCGCACTGGGCGGGCCCCGTGCGATCATGCGTTTTTGCAGTGTTTCTTGTTGTAATAAGATCACCCGAAATTTCGCCAGCTAGAAACGTCTTGTACGTACTGGTCCTCTAGGCTATACTTAAACAGGGGAAATTCCCTCGAAATCCCAGGCTCCCAGCTTTCTCACTTCCCGAGTTACCCAAATTCCAGCCATAAATTTTCATGGGGCCGTACGTGGCAACCACGCAAAACGGGGGGCTGAATTCGATAAATTTAAGTTGCAGATGAGCTGGGAACATTTTCTGTAAGTTTCAGCCCCGCAGCTTTCTTGGTTCCCGAGCTAGCGATTTTCGCGCCAGGAACTCTCAGGGGGCCGTACGCGGGAACCACGAACTCCCGGGGGCTGAATTTGAAATCTTTGAGTTCTACTTGGACTGGAAATATAATCTCAAAGTTTCAGCTTCCTAGCTTTTCTGGCTCCCAAGTTAGCGATTTTCCCGCCAAAACTTTGAGGCGCTCGTAGGCGGGGCCTGGGCGTGCTTGAGGGTTGGTACCGCGGTCCGGGGGTGGCACTTGACCGGGAGACCCACTCGCAAAATTTTAGCGCCGGAGCTTGCTTGGGTGCCGAGTTGAAACATGCGGACAGACCCACACACACACGCACGCACACACACAAATCGGGGTCGTCACAATATGTGTTTTTGCATATTACGCAAAAACGCATAACAACAACAGTGACGAACAACAAGACAACGAAAGCTCGGCTCCGGTTGATGTTCGAATCGCGAAAACTGCCTGGGGAATGTTATTTCGGGAGCGCTGGAGTGAAGATTTGGGGGGTAGTGGGACGGGGGAAAGGCGGGGGTGGGGGACGACGGTGCAATAGGGGCTCCGGTCGCGACCGCTTGGGGGTAGGGTCAGCAGTCGTGGAAACTCGGCTTGGCGTGCCGAAAAATTAGGGGATTAGGGAGGACTGAAGAAGATGGGAGAACGAATATTGGTCTGGGCCTAAATAAAAACAGTCTGGAACAGCTCGGCGGGGGATCCTCGTGGAGGAGAGGGGAGGGGGGCACCGATCGACCCTTTGTGTGTGTGAAGCGCATCGGCTGGCCGGTCTGTGTGGCAGGAGCATCGTTCTGTAATAATGCACTGAGCGCATCTAT